GTGGGCTTTTCCCTTCCTTGTCTTTTAGCCACTGCCATTCTGGACTCCTTTTTCCTATTCTAACCACCTAACAGTTCCCTTTGCAATACAAAAACTTTTAAGTTTAATTAGATCCTGTTTGTTTATTTATTTATTTGTTTTTCTTCTTTTTTTTTCATTTGTTTGTTTTTGTTTTAATTTCTTTTGTCTCGTTTCCCCTTCAATTTGCCATGAAGTGATGGGACCAGATGCCATGATCTTCATTTTTTGAAAGTTGAGTTTTAAGCCAGCTTTTTCACTCTCCTCTTTCACCTTCATCAAGAGGCTCTTTAGTTCCTCTTTTACTTTCTGCCATTACGGTGGTGTCATCTGCATATCTGAGCTTGTTGATATTTCTCCCAGCAATCTTGATTCCACCTTGTGATTCATTCAGCCTTTTTAATATGTATTGTAAAACCTGAGGTAAATAGGATAGACTCCTTTGGCTTTTAATGTTGGGGACCAGTAGGTGTCCCTTTGGGCCCATTTAGCTTTAGGTAGTGTAGTAATATCAAATCTTGTTTTAATCACATAAATTTCCATTTTATTGGTCTCATTTTAACTAATCATCCAAATATTTCTTTATTCATTTGATATAACACCTTAAAGAAATTCTAACTTTTTGGGAATCATAGTCAGACTTTCCTTACAGGTTTTTTATGCTTATATTATAATTATTTTAATACTCTTTTTAGACATTGTAAAACCCATTGAGAAGAAGCACAGACCACAAATGAAGCTCCTCAAGCCAGTTTTTTTAACTTGTTTTAAATAAACTATGGAAATCCTTAGTTTAATTATTAGATACATAATTTCACCTTTAGTTTGATTTTTGTTTATAGCTACCACTGGCTATTATGAGCGTACTTTAGATTTACCAGTTAGTTTTCCCAATTTTAAATGATCCATCACTTGGCCACCGATAACATATATCTCAATAGAAATTCAAACCATTAAGATGCAAAAGTCCTCCCCATAAGAGAATGGGAGAGGATGTAACCTAAACCCAGAGAGTTTTACTCTCAAGACCAAGTTTTCAAAAACACAAACAAACAAAACAAAAAAGCACAGAACGACCTGGGAAGATCAAGTAGAACATTTACATCTCAAAGACAAAGAGAAATGCAAGTTTCCCTCTAGAAAGTCTTTGTTTAAGTCTGAAAATATATTTTCACTTAGCCAGCTTTTCATAATAGTGAAACTTAATTTCATGGGCAATGAAAGAGCCCCCTCAATTTCCATGGTGAAGTTTCCTCCAATTTCCAATCAAGTAAACACCTGCAAGTTTTGCATGGGTATTGGCGATTTCTCATTCCTTTTTATTTTGAGACCTTTATTTTCCATTTTGAAGTCAGTTTGTTAAGATAAAATTGCATGTGATGGACCAGTGTGTCCTTTTTGGGAGCTTAAGTTCTCTGGTTTTGCCCCAGAGTTGTTTAAGCCCCATCTTACATGTCTCGGGTTTCCCAGTGGAATATAAGACTTCCATGGGTGCTCAGATTGTGGAATAGCCAATTCTTATGTGTGTCCCCTGTTGAGCAGTTTGTTAATTACATGAGTGGGTTTACCTGTTGGAACAAGCTGCATGGTATGCGTGAGGTCTTGCTTCCACCACTCCTGCAAATTTCTCAGTTATCTGAGAAAGCTTTTGCCAGCTAGGAAGAGAGAGTCCTTTTTGGAGGTCAGAAGCTCTAGGAAGACTTCAGTTTTATTTTGACAAATTCTATTAAGGTAGCCAAGTCAAGGAAAAACAACATGCCAGTCTTACCCCCTAATAACTCAGTCCCACCTTACACAGTGTTTGAGCAATCTTCCCAGTTGCTAGACTGAGGTTGACCACTCAGTATACAAAATGAGTCTTCCCAGGGCCTTAGCACTGAGGATCACCTGCTTGAGCAAAATCTTCCCAGTGTCTGAACGCCGAGGATATCCTATTCAGCACCTAAATTGAGAAAAATCTTCCCAGTACTTTGAGGATGTCCCACCCAGTGTCTAAGCTGAGAGACCCAGGTACCTTTTCTTGAAACCAAGTTTCAAGGATAACATTTTCCCCCAAATAAAACTCAAGGTCATCAACCAATACAGGAGATCTGAGATCCAGGAAGATTCATTCAGATCTGTCTGGATTTCAAGGAGGCAGATGGGCACAGGAGGCCTCCGCTGGTACCAAGGCTCCAGATCCTTGCAGAGCTCAGCTCAAGGATAGGAATCCATTCTGGATCCCTTTGTTGGTTGCCAAAACTGTCCATTTAAAAAATAATCACAACCTGGAAGTTGCAAGTTATGTTTTATTGGATGGGAATTTTTAGGACTTCAAGTCCACGAGATAGCATCTCAAGTAACCCTGAGAGAACGGCTCTCAGGCGGCAGGAAGAGGAGTCAAGTTATATAGAAGTTTGCAACAAGGGGCAAGTAGTCTGAACAGCAAAAGATTATTGTTAATTAAAGAAAACCAGATATCTCAAATAATTTAGTGTTTTTTTATACGTGAGCAGATACAAGAGCCTGGGCTCACTGAAATCATTTCTTTCACATGTATCTCAGCTATCTGGGGCCAGTTTCTAATGCTTTTCACACACACACACTAAGCTCTAGGAAGACTTCAGTTTTATTTTGACAAACTCTATTAAGGTAGCCAAGTCAAGGAAAAACAACATGCCAGTCTTACCCCCTAATAACTCAGTCCCACCTTACACAGTGTTTGAGCAATCTTCCCAGTTGCTAGACTGAGGTTGACCACTCAGTATACAAAATGAGTCTTCCCAGGGCCTTAGCACTGAGGATCACCTGCTTGAGCAAAATCTTCCCAGTGTCTGAACGCCGAGGATATCCTATTCAGCACCTAAATTGAGAAAAATCTTCCCAGTACTTTGAGGATGTCCCACCCAGTGTCTAAGCTGAGAGACCCAGGTACCTTTTCTTGAAACCAAGTTTCAAGGATAACATTTTCCCCCAAATAAAACTCAAGGTCATCAACCAATACAGGAGATCTGAGATCCAGGAAGATTCATTCAGATCTGTCTGGATTTCAAGGAGGCAGATGGGCACAGGAGGCCTCCGCTGGTACCAAGGCTCCAGATCCTTGCAGAGCTCAGCTCAAGGATAGGAATCCATTCTGGATCCCTTTGTTGGTTGCCAAAACTGTCCATTTAAAAAATAATCACAACCTGGAAGTTGCAAGTTATGTTTTATTGGATGGGAATTTTTAGGACTTCAAGTCCACGAGATAGCATCTCAAGTAACCCTGAGAGAACGGCTCTCAGGCGGCAGGAAGAGGAGTCAAGTTATATAGAAGTTTGCAACAAGGGGCAAGTAGTCTGAACAGCAAAAGATTATTGTTAATTAAAGAAAACCAGATATCTCAAATAATTTAGTGTTTTTTTATACGTGAGCAGATACAAGAGCCTGGGCTCACTGAAATCATTTCTTTCACATGTATCTCAGCTATCTGGGGCCAGTTTCTAATGCTTTTCACACACACACACCCCCCAGTCCTCTGTGCTCACCATGGGGAGTGGCTGAGGCTGCTGGATAGTAGGTATTGTTCTTTCTGGGTGCCCTCCAGGCTCAGAAATTCACATTTGGAGGGATGGAATTGCTGATGACTGAGACATACTTGTTTGTTGATATGGCAGGAAATACTTCATTTCTCACTACCCTTATTTTGAGGGTTAAAGAAAATATTGCCAGTAAAGTCCTTGGCATTGTGTTCTTCACTAAATAAAATCTAACTTCCAGTTCTGCTATTAACACTGTCATTAATGTAATTATTAACAGAGTGACCTAGAGTAAACCTCCGCAAGTATTAGGTTTATTATTATAAACCTCCCCAAATGTTATTAGTAATAACATTTTCTCATGTTATTACTATTAGAAAATCTGAGCTTTTGCATTGTACTCACATCAGAGGGAAAGCCCTATAACTAGCCACACCTTCCAAGGACCCTCTGAGAAAAAATATCCTTTCTCAAAATTCAAATAACTTACTTAAATGTCCAACTTACAATGGCCCTCACCTTAAACAGAATAGAACAAGTTGTGCCATTGTAAGAAACCTCAGAATCTGTGGGCTAACACTGCAAAGGTTTGTTTCTTGTTCATGTTCCAGCCAGACTCAAATCCTTTGGTAACTGTCTTTCAAGCTGTAACTCAGAGACCCAGACAGCTTCCATTGAGAGATATATATTTAAGAACTATACTTATAAGTAGCTTAAACTTTGTAGCTCTCTCCTACTGATCCTAATTCTGGGATAAGTTGTGTCTCTCTCCAAGATAATTATACTTATATCCATGAATCCATTTGTCATTTAGAATAGTTTGGCTCAGTGGTAAAGAATTCACTTGCCAACGCAGGACACACGAGTCTGATCTTTGGGTCAGGAAGATCCAGCTGGAGAAGGTAATAGCAACCTACTCCAGTATTCTTGCCTGGGAAATCCCATGGACAGAGGAGCCTGGCTGGCTACAGTCCATGAAGTTGCAAAAGATTAAGACACAAGTTAGCAACTAAACAAGTCTTATTAACCATCACAATCGTTCTCATCTGAATGTACTAGTTGGTCTATTGATCTGTGTCCCTGCATCGAAACTAAGCCTAAGTTTAAATCTGACAAGTACAATTGAGTGGTACAATCACCTTTTTTATTCTAGAAAATATACTCCTATTAATTCAGCCTAAGTTTGCGTTTTTCTTTGAAGGGAGCAGTAAGCAACACTGAACTTAACATCAACTGAAATTGCTGTAAATGTTCAACAAATTCAGTTCCCTTTCATTAATGTTGATTCTTTTCATTCTGAACAGGAATCTCCATTATGGAAAAGTCCACAAGAAAAACACGTCCAAAAGATTTGCATTCTCTACTTTATCTACTAATAGATCACCTACTTGTTCATGCAAGTAGCTAGTCTGAGACAGGTAACTGTCAAGGCTTGACCAGCCCTGTTACTTCTTGAACTGACTGCTCCCATTCACCTTGTTGCAGGTACCACATCTGCGTGACTGTGCTGATCTACTTCCTCCCCCTGCTGGTGATAGGTTATGCTTACACCGTAGTGGGCATCACCCTGTGGGCCAGTGAGATACCTGGGGACTCCTCTGACCGCTACCACGAGCAAGTCTCTGCCAAGCGTAAGGTGAGCAAAGGGCTAGCAGCACTTAACCCACCCGGGCACAGGTGGCAGGCTGGTAAGCATGTGAGCCCGAGCCTCAGGAGTCCCGGAGGCAGTCCCTGGGTCCCAAGAACTGTAGAAAGGAGGGGAGGAAAGGGGAGGGGAGGAAGAAATCTTCCTTCAATGTGTTTGTAACCTAGGCCTGCCTGTACAGGCATAAGCCCCCTCATTCTCACCTTAAAACTAACAGAAAACTGTCAATTCATTAAAACACAAGCACACAGATTTAACTACAGAAGCATGAAGAGCTATTCAGTTCTCTTTAGTTATTACAGTTTGACAAAATAATACGTTCACTTCGTTCAAACAGCAAAAATTACTAAAAGAAACAAAACTATGGTGATGGAGAACAAACTGGGAATTGCCAGGATTAATACTGGGGGAAGAATCTGCCTACAAAGGGATTGCATGAGTGAATTTCTTTGCGAAAATGGAGCAATTCTGCATCCTGATTACTGTGGACTTTTTACTTATCTCTGCATATGATAAAATTTCATAGAACTATACACCAAAAAAGTGCATGTAAAAGCTGGCAAATTCCAAATACAGCCTGTAGTTTAGGCTGTATTAGTTTAGTACCGTACTGTTTAGTACTGTACTATCATCGGTTTCTTGATTTTGATTGTGTGGCATAGCTAGGTAAGATGGTATCACTGGGAGAAGCTTTGTGATGGGTACCTGAGAATTCTGTCCTATTTTTGCAACTTCCTGGGAGTCTTAAATTGTTTGAAAATTAAAAGTAAAAAAATATACTGAGTCTTACCATGAAAAGGCTCACTCCTTTCTAGGTCCTCTGTCTACCGAGTTCCCAAATGTTTATGCACGTACGCACGCGCGCACACACACACACATCATGGTTACCACCGTTATTTGTTATTAATCCTTTCAGATATTGTGATGTATTTATAAGCCAAATAAACATATATTCCTTTCTTTTTTACATAAATAGTAAATATGCACTTTTCTTCCCCTCATTCTTTAATTTATTAAATATCCACAAAATCTTCAAAACTCAATATAGAAACAGCTTTCTCATTCTTTTTTCCCCTCTTTTAGTACCTCTTTGCATAGTATTTCATTGTACAGATGCTAGATAGCTTTTCTTTTTTATTGAAATATAGTCGACTTACAACAGTATTTAGTTTCAGGTGTATTGCATACTGACTGGCCATTTACATCCATTACCACCACAATAATTCTAGTAACCATCTGTCCCTACACAAAGCTACTCAAATACTATGGACCATATTCCTTATGTAGCTTATTATATCCCCACGACTTACTTGAGGTCTGCACCCCTTACTCCCCTTCACCCATTTCATCCACCTGCCCATTCCCCTTCTTTCTGGCAAGCACTCTTTCATTCACTACATCTGTGAATCTGCTTTTGTTTTGTTTGTTTCTTTGTTTTGCTTTTAGAGTCCACATATAAGTGAAGTCATATGGTATTTGACTTACTCTTGGAATAATACCCTCTGGATATATCCATGTTGTCCCAAATGACAAGTTTTTATTTTTAATGATTGGGTAATATTCTATTGTATGTGTATGCATTTTTATACCCATTCCTCTATCAGGGGACACTTAGGTAGCTTTCATATCTTCGCTATTGTTCTAAAGCTAAATTGCTCTATTGTGCTAAAGTTCTGTGATACTGTAATTCCAGTGAATATTCAGGACTGATTTCCTTTAGGATGGGCTGGTTGGATCTNCTAAATTGCTCTATTGTGCTAAAGTTCTGTGATACTGTAATTCCAGTGAATATTCAGGACTGATTTCCTTTAGGATGGGCTGGTTGGATCTTCTTGCAGTCCAAGGGACTCTCAAGAGCCTTCTCCAACACCACAGTTAAAAGCACCCATTCTTCAGCACTCAGCCTTCTTTATTGTCCAACTCTCACATCCATACATGACTACTGAAAAAGTCAGAGCTTTGACTTTATGGACCTTTTTTGGCCAAGTAACGTCTCTGCTTTTTTATATGCTGTCTAGGTTTGTCATAGCCTTTCTTCCAAAGATCAAGTGTCTTTCAATTTCATGGTTGCAATCACCATCAGCAGTGACAAAAACAAACTCCAAACTATTAAGAAAATGGCACTAAGAACATATATATCAATAATTACTTTAAATGTAAATCAATTAAATGTTCCAGCCAAAAGACACAGACAGGACGAATAGATATAAAAACCAGACCCATATATATATGCTGTCTACAAGCAACCCACTTCAGACCTAAAGATACATATAGCCTGAAAGTGAGAGGATGGAAAAATATATTCCATGAAAATGGAAATCAAAAGAAAGCTGGAGTAGCAACCATCATATAAGACAAAATAGACATTAAAATAAAGAATATTACAAGAGATAAGAAAGGACACTACACAAAGATCTGAATATATTCAATGCACTCCCTATGAAACTACCAAGGGTATTTTTCACAGAACTAGAACAAATAATTAAGCAATCTGTCTGGAAACACAAAAGAGCCCGAATAGCCAAAGCAGTCTTGAGAAAGAAGAATGGAACTGGAGGAATCAACTTTGCTGACTTCAGATTATACTACAAAGCTATGGTCATCAAGACACTATGGTACTGGCACAAAAACAAATACAGACCAAAGGAACAAGATAGAGAGACCCGAGAAAAATCCATGCACCTATGGGTACCTTGTTTTTGACAAAGGAGGCAAGATATACAACAGGGCAAAGATAACCTCTTCAATAAGTGGTGCTGTTTAAACTAGATAGCTACATGTAAAAGAATGAAATTAGAACACTTCCTAACACCATACACAATGATAAACTCAAAATGGATTAAAGACCTAAATGTAAGACCAGAAACTATAAAACTCTTAGAGGAAAACATAGGCAGAACACTCACAGGCAAAACAGCAGAACACTTGATGACATAAATCAAAGCAAGATCCTTTATGAACCATCTCCTAGGGTAATGGAAATAAAAGCAAAATAAACAAGTGGAACCTAATTAGGCTTAAAAGCTTTTGCTCAGCAAAGGAAACTATAAACAAGGTGAAAAGGCAACATTCAGAATGGGAGAAAATAATAGCAAATGAAACAACTGACGATGGATTAGTCTCCAAAATATACAAGCAGCTCATACAAATCAATACCAGAAAAACAAACAACCCAATCAAAACAAGGGGAAATGACCTAAACAGAAATTTCTCCAAAGAAGACATACAAATGGCTAACAAACACATGAAAAGATGCTCAACATCACACATTATTAGAGAACTACATATCAAAACTATAGTGAGATATCACCTCACTCCAGTCAGAATGGCCATCATCAAGAAGTCTACAAACAATAAATGCTGGAGAGGGTGTGGAGAAAAGGGAACCCTCTTGCACTGTTGATGGGAATGTAAACTGATACAGCCACTATGGAAAATAGTACGGAGATTGCTTTAAAAAACTATAAATAAAACCTATGACTCAGCAATCCTACTCCTAGGCATATACCCTGAGGAAACCAAAACCGAAAAAGATACATAAACCCCAATGTTCATTGCAGCACTATTTACAATAGGTAGAACATGGAAGCAACCTAGATGACCATCAACAGATGAATGGATAAAGAACTATACACACACACACACACACACACACACACACACACAATGGAATATTACTCAGCCATAAAAAGGAACACATTTAAGTCAGTTCTAATAGGTGGATGAAACTAGATCCTATAATACACAGGGAAATAAGTTAGAAAGAAAGATAACTATTGTACACTAACACATATATATGGAATCTAGAAAGATGGTATTGATGAATTTATATGCAGGGCAGCAGTGGAGAGACAGACATAGAGAACAGACTTGTGGACATAGTGTCGGGGGAGCGTGGAAGGAGAGACTGAGATGCCTGGAGAGAGTAGCGTGGAAATACATGTGCTAACATATGCAAAATAGATGCCAATGGGAATTTGCTGAATGACTCAGGGAATGCAAACAGGGGCTCTGACAACCTAGAGGGGCGGAATGGGGAGAGAGATGGGAGGGAGGTTCAAGAGAGAGGGGACATATGGATACCTATGGCTGATTCATGTTGATATTTGGTAGAAAGCAACAAAATTCTGTAAAGCAATTATCCTTCAATTAAAAAATAAATTTAAAAAATAACACACACACACACACACACACAAAGACCTAAATGTCAGACTGGGCACTATAAAACTCTTAGAGGAAAACATAGGCAGAACACTCTCTGATATCAATAACAGCAATATCTTTTTCAATCCATCTCCCAAAATAAGGGAACTAAAAACAAAAATAAACAAATGGGACCAACTTAAACTCAAAAGCTTTTGCACAGCAAAGGAAATGATAAACAAAACAAAAAGACAAACCACAGATTAGGAAGAAATATTTGCCAGTGATGTGACCAACAAGGGATTAGTCTCCAAAATTTACAAACAACTCATAATGCTTAACAGCATCACAACAAGCAACCCAATCAAAAAATGGGCAGAAGACCTGAATAGACATTTCTCCAAACAAGATATATAGGTTGCCAAGAGACATATGAAAAGATGTTCAGCATTGCTAATTATTAGAGAAATGTAAATCAAAACTACAATGACGTATCACTTCACATCAGCTAGAATGGCTATCATCAAAAAAATCCACAAACAATAAATGCTGGAGAGAGTGTGGAGAGAAAGGAAACCTCCTACACTGTTGTTTCAAATGTAAATTGGTACAGCCACTATGGAGAACAGTATGGAATTCCTTCAGTTCAGTTCAGTTCAGTAGTTTAGTCATGTGCAACTCTTTGTGACCCCATGGACTACAACACGCCAGGCCTCCCTGTCCATCACCAACTCCCGGAATTTACCCAAATTCATGTACATTGAGTCAGTGATGCCATCCAACCATCTCATCCTCTGTCATCCCCTTCTCTTCCTGCCCTCAATCTTTCCCAGCATCAGGGTCTTTTCAAATGAGCCAGCTCTTCACATCAGGTGGCTGAAGTATTGGAGCTTCAGCATCAGCCCTTCCATTGAACACCCAGGACTGATCTTTAGGATGGACTGGTTGGATTTCCTTACAGTCCAAGGGACTCTCAAGAGTCTTCTCCAAGACTACGGATCAATGAGGGCTCTGGGGCTGATATCAGCCCACTGGTGTGTGGGTAAGCTCCTAGATCTAACAGGCTAAAAGGATAACTCCAAAATGACATTTGCCAAAATCAATGTCCTCAAGGTAGACTGAACTCCCTAAAATGGCTGCCACCAGTATTTTCATCCTTGGAGGTGGTCCCAATTGCCTCCTGTCTCTCCAGGAGACTTCAAGGTCAGCAGGTAGGTCTGACTTGGGCTCTCTTAGGAACAGAATCTCTGTTTCCTACAATCTTCTCGCACTCCTGTGTATAAGCCCTGGTGACTTTCAAAGTCAGAGAGTCCTGGGTGTTGTCTTCTCAGTTCAGGACCCACTAGGAACCCAGCGTGGGGCTCAGACCTCTTATTCCTTGGGGAGGAACTATGCAATTGTGATTATCCTTCCATTTGTGGTTTACCTTCCCAAGGGTGTGGATCTTCACTACGTTGCATCTCTATTTCTCCCACCCATCTCACTGTGATTCCTTCTTTATATCTTTAGTTGTAGAAAATCTTTTCTGCTAGTCTTCAGCTTTTCCTAGTTGCTTTGTAACTAGTTGTAATTCTGCTGTGCCCATGTGAGGAGATGAACTCACTGCCTTCTTATTCTACTATATTGGCCACACATCTTCTAGGTCATTCTTTCTCTTAAGATTTCTTGGGAATAAAAAGGGATGGGTTATATCACCCTATATTCATAAAGCCATTTTATGAATATTCCCTTTAAACATCTGACAATCCCTTTCTGCAGCTATCCAAATCCTACCCATTCTTTTTCCCTCCCCCAGAGTCTTCAAGTCTAGCAGCCTACTCTGACTCATGGCCCTTTCCTTCTGCTGCTTTCTCCCCATTCCTGGATCTTTCCTTCCTGAATACCCTTTGCTCATTAATCTTTGCTCATTAATCTGGTCTCCCTTGGCTTCTCCAGCCATTGCCCAGAAGTATGATATGATATTCTCAAACATGAATGTACATGAGAATAATCCAAAGGGCTTCTCAAACACTGAATTCTGAGTCCCACATTGAAAGTTTCTGATTCAGTTAGATTGGAATGGGGTCTAAGAATTTGCATTCCTGACAACTTCTCAAGTAATATTTATGTTCCTGGTCCTGGGGTCACTCTCTGGGAATCACTGATATAACCAAAGTCCTTTGGTACCACAAGGTGGTCCTTCCTCCACCTTGAAAGGTGTTATTATATTGATAGTTACTTTATATTGCATATCACACTGTGCATAGTAAGTGGGCAGGATAAGAGAGAAAAGAACCATTATAAAGGGAAGATGGGCTGCTAGTCTTACCTGTCTCACTCTCTTGCCAGGTGGTTAAGATGATGATCGTTGTTGTATGCACCTTTGCTATCTGCTGGTTGCCCTTCCACATCTTCTTCCTCCTGCCTTACATCAACCCTGATCTCTACCTGGAGAAGTTTATTCAGCAGGTTTACCTGGCCATTATGTGGCTGGCCATGAGCTCTACCATGTACAACCCCATCATCTACTGCTGTCTCAATGACAGGTAAGACCCTTATCCCCCATACTCTCCCCAGGACAAGAAACTAATAATCCTTCTGTTGAATCCCTGCTGACTGAACCAAGCGATGATTAGTTTTCTATAGTCTGCACCACTCACTCCTCTCTCACGGCCGGCTCTGCTCAATTAGGTTAGCTTCTTGGGGACTACAAAGACAAACGGTCTTGTCACCATGCAGGAATAGGAGCCGTGAGAGGACCTTTGTTCCTTTCCAAGAGGAGCCAGAAACACATACCACTGGTTACTAAGTCAGTATTCGAGGGTCGGGTGCAGGGCAGATAAAAACTCTCTGTGATTAATACACATAAATCAGGTTGCCAGCTGGATCAAGTTCATGAATTTGTTCAATCTACTCTAAGGATCCCATGTACAGAGAGTTGTGCATGCAGAAAGAGACAGAGAATCAGACAGAAAGAGTCAGAGAATGAGTAAGTCAGAGAGTGAGAGAGAACGAGAGAGAGAGATCGATGCCACTCGAATGTTATCCACCACATGGCATTTTTTTCCCTTCTCTGGTCTCTCATTTTCCTCTTCCCATCCCATCTGGGCAGGGACTTCCCTGGCAGTCCAGTGGTTAAGATTTCACTTCCCAATGCAGCGGGGGTAGGGCAGGTTCAGTTCCAGGTTGGGGAGCTACGATCCTACATGCCTTGCAGTCGGAAAACCAAAACACAAAACAGAATCAATATTGTAACAAATTCAATAAGCTTTAAATATTGTCCACATCAAAAAAGTCTTAAAAAAATTTTTTTTAGGTAGTTTTGTCCAGTTTCTTCCAGTACTTCCAGCAGGACAGGGTAAGCAAAAAGAAGTCAGAGCCTCCAAGGCCTGATTCTGCCTTTGTTTGGCCACAGGGGCCAGGAGAGCCTTCCCTGAAGTGGAAGCCAACTTCAGACAAGTTAGAAAAGAAAGAACCATCAGGAATGGCGATCAGCAACAAAGAATCCACCACAGTGTGCAGAGTCTCCAAAAGGGAGCTGGGAAGCTGTGGTGACAGTTCAGTCATCTGGAGCACCACCTCAGCCTCTGTGTGAAAAAGGGAGACAGGGGAAGGAGGGGAGGGATAAAAGACTTGTCACATTTATGGCCAATAGTTATCAGCCTATAAGGAGCCTTCTATGAGTGAGACTCTCAGGGACTATGACTTTGAAGACAGATATTCCTTGGGACTTGTCCAGATGGTCTTTGTCTAACTCACAGATATATCTTTCTTCTAAGAGCCTCACAACCCGCCTAAATATTTCTAAGTTAAATCTCTCAGCACGTCTTTTAAGTAAAAGCTGATTCTCCATGCTTAAAACACAGGGAAACTGAGGCACACTGAACGGACACGATTGGTAGAAAGTCAGTGAGCTACCTGAAGGAAAGGACTGAGTCTTGACACTGTATTGTACATATAACGAACACTTGGTGAATGTTTTTACTGATGCTGAACTGACCCAGAGCAGGTGGAGGCAGAACATTTCAACTACCACCCTCAGTACAGACTTGAATTTCACATGAACTTGGGTTCTAATCCTGGAGTTGACCTTGACAACTGACTTTTAAATCTTTTGCCCTTAGCATCTCCAGTTATCAATTAATTTAAAAAAAGAAGAAGACAGAGTCTCATTTGGGTATATCCTCATATTAAACAGCTTCTGCAATGGTGGGAACACCCCTGATAGCAGGCCATACTCAAGCATTACTTGTCCATCCACTCTCCTTCCAGGTTCCGTCTGGGCTTCAAGCATGCCTTTCGGTGCTGCCCTTTCATCAGTACTGGCGACCATGAAGGGTTCGAAATGAAATCCACTAGGTACCTCCAGACCCAAGGCAGCATCTATAAAGTCAGCCGCCTGGAGACCACTGTCTCCACAGTGGTGGGGGCCCATGAGGAAGACCTGGAGGAAGGGCCCAAGGCCACGCCCTCATCCCTGGACCAGATCTCCAATGACCCCTCTCACAGCGACTCTAAGACCACGATGGAGAGCTTAAGCTTCTACTCCAACATGCTCTCCTAGACCACGGGGCTTTCAGCGGGCATGGCCACCTCTATCTTTGTCTTGCTTCATTTCATGCATGGATAAATCTCCAGTATAAAATCCATAAGAAACACCCTTGGGACTTGTGAAAGGCTGAGAATAGTTTGGGGAAAACATTCCATTCTGAAGTCAAAAACCTACATTCTTCTATATCTTTGTCACACATGCACTGTGTGACCGAAAAATCATTGACTTCTCTGAGCCTGTACAATGAGGTTAAACTTGATTTTCTCTGCAATCCATTCCAAGATTCTAGAATTAATTTCAATTGCATGTATTCATTTCAGGGTGATTCCTGCAATGCAGCAACAGATCAAACTGATCTGTTTGCCTAGAGACCCTGTCTTATTTCAATAAAGGTGTTCTCAATCTTGCTTAGATTATTTTCCTTTACCTGGTGGCTCACACTGCATCAGCCTCTGCTTGATAAGGTAACAAAAGGAGAAACCAGCTAAAATCTGATTGAAAGATTTAACCTTCTCTTCTAAGCACCAATGAAAATAAGGTATACTTCTGCCCATTTTGGCATCTCAATAAATCAATGCATCATGGAATTGAGAGTTTCAAATTCATCTGTATTGTGTCCCCATTGACTATCATGAGCCACCAATGCAAATAGAATATGTCTACTGATACTAGTTAATGTCAGTTATGAACCAAGACTCAGGAGAACTGTGCAACACTTAATCTGATCCTCTCTTTCCTTATTTGTAAAACTAAGAGGCTGAATGACATCATCTAGGTGTCCCTTGAAATTTTAACATTCATCAGTTCAATGATTTTATGTGTTTTTTGTTTGTGTAACCAAAAATTGATAATAAGAGCAGTAAGTCTAGTGACTTAATACCCAGCTCTTAGAGATGTAGCAACTACTAAGACCATGTATCAATATCCACATATGACATTCTCTGATTTGTCCTAGAACTGTGAGTATTTTTCTTCTCCTGAAAGATTTTTGCCTTTGACAGAGCAGAGGACTTTGTGTCAAAACTTGCATCTCTCTATCAGGCCTTCGCAGGCTAGGTCTCACAGTCAGAGAATGCCACTGGGAAAGACAAACGTGTGGGTTCCCTGCTCTGGCCTTTTGGTTATCTTAGGGCAGGGGCACTCATGCAGATTGTTCTTTATAAGAGCATTAGGTATGTACTCAGATGCTCAATGACTGAGGAGGCTGTGCCCTGCAATCACATTTGGGGGAAGAGGCCACCTTACATCTTCTCTTTAGACTCTGAATCTCCCTTTCCTGCCACTGGCTTTGCTGGCCTCCTGCCTGAAAGAGGTAGAATGATCAATGTACCCTAAAGAAGAAGAGTCGGTCAACAAAGAGTCATAGCACTTCACGTCCTAACACAGTTTTTGGGTTACAGCAGGCGAGCATGCAATTTCTTTCTCCAGATCTGTGCTTTGTCCAGATGTGGCTGAAAGCAGAGACAATATGTAACTATATAAATGCCTTCCTCGTGGTCTGAAGAATGCATGCACAAGTCCTGCGTACATCGTGTTGAAGGAGAACAGTGGTGCACATCAGGTTTACAGCCTTTACCAGCTGGGCTGGCCCCAACCCTGCTAGGGCATTGGCAGGCCATGAAGAAGCTGCACAGCAATAGTAGGAGCCAGAGGGACCTGACAGCCACGTTTGCCAAAGCAGAACGAGAAGGATTACACTAAGGAAACCAGTTCAGTGTAAACATATGGATGGAATACTTAATTTAGGGGCAACAAAAGTCAGTGCCCAAAACATTTTAGTCATACTTCTAACTAACAATCAGGCCGTGTATGGATTATTCACTTCAGAGGGATTTAAAGAACTGGCATGATTATGAGAAGTACCTAAGAAGAAAATGTTAAGGAGTAGGGGACATTCTCTCTATGGAAGAGTTTAGAGTTGAATTTAACAAGGATTACTGAACACTTGATCTGGACTTGGCCCTGAGCTGGGGACACACGACTTCTTCTGTTCTTGAGAAAGCCTATCAGATAGGCCACTGCTAACTCACCAGTCTTAGTTGGGCTAGGCTGCCCAGCAGGCATGGAGGCAGTTGAGAAGCAGATTCTCCACAGGATCCTAAAGACCCACACTCAACATACATAATGGAGTCAAAGTCAAAGACCTTAAGAGCCTTTTGCAATGGAAGCTCTTTGAGATAATTCCAAAGAGAGCACCAGCCAATCTCGGGGAACTGAAGGGATGTGGTTGGACAGCATCATCACTGCACATTGTAGGAGTGGGCAGTGTCAAATATGGCAGAACATTTCCTCTGAGACAGAGAGCCCTTCAAGCCTTCCACTGACCCACCCTCCAACACCCATTTAACTGATAAAAGTGCTGCTGTCTTCTCCCATGTGTGAGATACACCATGATTTGTACTGTGCATGGGTCTCACTCTTATAGAAATGTGTCACCCTGTGTTTATCTCCTAAGTGTTTTTCCTTGATATTCTGTTCAGTAGTGATAAAATAGAAGGCACCATTGGGCCATCTTTGTTATGTTACTTCCAAAATGTGGGATCCAGTTGCTGTCAGTGAGCTATTTATACTGTGCCAATTCCTCCTTGTTCTTTCAAAGACAGAAACTGATGTATATCACAGACACAGAGTAGGGCCATAGCAACTGAGGGATGGGGAGGAAGACTAAATGGAAAGGACTAAAGGACAGTTCTTATCTTCCTCACCTCCCACTAAAGTGCTAAGACATAGTGGAATTTCCTTTTTCTCAGAAAGACTAGGTGCAACCCTGGGAAAAGGGGGCTTGGGAGCTAAACTTATTGACCTGGCTTTCAGGAAGAATCAAGTAAGCAAAGACAGGGAGTTCTTAAAGTTTCTATACTTTCCAACCTGGAATCCTGGAAAAATCTCCATACAGAAATAAAGTATGTTTTTGACTACTTCTTGCCTCTGTCTCATCTCTAGGAAAACTAAGCACCCTATAAAATACTGAATGGGGTGGTACTATGAACCCTAATAAACTGCATAGACAAAAGAATGGAGCTCAACACCCAGCAAACTCCTACCTTTCTGACAAAATGGGTTGGCAAGATGTGAGAATGATTTCTGGGTGGGGATCTGGGAAGGTAGTATGGGATTGTGTGAAGTGACCAACAGAGTCTCCTATGAGTAGAATTGTGTCAGTTCAGGTCCTCCCAGAAGCAGACACCAGGACAGAGTTACAAGTGCAAGAGGGAACACTTGGGAAAGATAAGGGGTGAGGAAAGCAGGTTGGGGAGGCCTTGAGACTCTGTGGCAATCTGATGCCTGTGGAAAAGGTGGGGGGAGATTGAGCAGGAGGAGCTTCCATATGAGGTACAGTCCTGAGGTACAGTCTCAGCTGGCCCACCAGCTTGCATGCAAAGGGTGCCCCACACTAGCAGAAATGGCCAGGCCTTGTACCCAACAGTCTCTATCACTGACTGGAAGCTCTCTGGGGAGAGAGTAGTCTGGGCTTGACCACCATGGTGGGTCCTGCAGGTACTGCAGCGAGATGCCGGCAGCTGACTACACCCCCACGGCCAGCTCTCTCCTGAAGAGAGATCTGTGCCACCACTTCTGCAGCCACCGCCAGAGCTTTGGGCCAGCCCTCTGTGTTTTAGAACAGGTCAGGAAGCACTTGGCAGCGTTAGAAACGTCACTGGTTAATCTCTGTGGGCCCTGGCAACCTGGAGGAGAGCCCAGGAAGTAGGGGCCACCCTGTACCGCTTCATCCCTCAGGCACGCACCCTCAAAAGAGTGATGAGCAGCTGGTGGAAGACTTGCAATAACAGAGGCTGTACGGCTTTAAGATAGTGAATCTTGAGGAGAATCTAGATAGCTATGCAACATGGTGAGTATCAGAAACAAGTAAATAATCAGGATGTTTATGTTAAAACCAAGGTGACTTAAATTGAGGTGCCTGGATAAGTTTCAAGGAATCCACAAATTCCCCTCAAGTTCCCCACAAATCATATGTAAAACATTGTATGTGTGTGTGTAATAAAGGGTGCAAAACCTGAATCATCTCAGAAGAAATCATTCTCCCTCTTCTCTCCAGAGAAAGAGAGAAAATAAACCGTTTACAAGAGAGGAGACAGGAGCCTCGAGGCACAGTGAGAGATAGGTGAGCCCTGGGAGAACCAGAATGGCTGCCAGGAAACTTGAAACAACTTTGGAACAAAACCGTAATTCACTTCAGGCGCCCAGATGAGTTAAAGTTGTAGAACATTCTTAAAGATGTTTGTGACAGTAAAAGCACCCAATTCAGGATTAAGGGCTGGGCTTACTCTTCATTGGAGAGATGAATATTTGTTAGCTGAAGAAAATACTAACTTTAGTTATAGGTCAAGAAATAATATCAGCTGTGAGTATGGACACTCTTGAGGAAATTCATTTTCATTTAGTCCTATGTAGGCACGTGGCCTCATACACCATGAAGGTGCCTTAAGAGTCATTCTGGCTTTGCTAATTCTCCCTGCATAGCTGCATCAGATCCTTTTCATGTGTAAATGGTTCTTCCCAGCTCTGAAACCCAAGAAGGGGTTTCAGTCAAGTCCTCAAACAGAGGCAGGCAAGGTGGAGACACATAAAGAATGTTCTTCTCCATCTTCAAAGGTGAAGGGAAAGGGCTTCCCTGGTGGCTCCACAGAATAGAATCCACCTGCCCATGCAAGAGACACAGGTTTGACCCCTGGTCTGGGAAGATCCCACATGCTGCAACAAGAGAAGCCACCGCAATGAGAAGCCTGCGCACCTCAACTAGAGAGTAGCCCAGGAAGCCGCAAAGCCCCCGCAAGGACAAAAAGAAATAAAAAACGAAGGGAGAATCGGACTGCAGAAACTGCTTTCCTGAATGTAGGTAATGCTCTGAAACACCCTCATTTATCTGTATCTACTTAGGAAAACAGGGAGGAAGAGGAATCAGGCCATGTACATGCGTGCTAAGTTGCTTCGGTCATGTCTGACCCTTTGAGAGTCTATGGACTGTAGCCCACCAGGTTCTTCTGTTTATGGGATTCTCCAAGCAAGAATACTGGAGTGGGTTTGCCATGTCCTCCTCCAGGAGATCTTCCCAACCCAGGGATCTAATCCATGTCTCTTATGTCTCCTGCATTGGCAGACGGATTCTTTACCACTAGCACCACCCGGGATTCAACATAAAGTGATTGTGATCTTTGGTTCTCTCTCAAGCAGTGCAGTAAGGAAAAAAAGGCTGCTAATTAGAAATGTGACAAACTGTATCAGCAATAGCAATGACATGAGCCCCACTGTGGTCGTTGCCCTGACCCTGCCATTCTCTGCCGGCATGTTTGCAGCATCTATTCCACTAGCTTCAGAGATTTTCGCACCAACAGATTCTAACCCAAGTCCTCTGCATTCTGTGCATGTGTCCTTTGTCTCTTTCCTCTTCTTTTTATGTCATTTTCTTTTGTTCTCCATTCTCTATTTCAGCATTATTTTTATCCCTAGAAACTCTCTCCTCCTAACGCACACCCTGCTGAAATCTCTAAGTTTTAATCCCTCTACTCTGGATGCCTTCTTAGTACACACTTTAATAAAGAGAGTGAGGCATAATAGTGAGACCCCACCATCCCTAACAGATTTCCTTTCCCATCTCAAGTTCCCTCTTGCTCCCTCATGTATCTGCTCACCCACTCTGTTCTTTAATCCCCTTCCCAACCTCACTGCCCACTCACACATTTTCCAAAACTAAGAGGACTTTCAGAGCAAGGCTCCTGAGCTAGTGCTAAAACTCAAAAGAAACAGCTGAAGCAAGAAATCCAGACACTAGACCGGGCTGAGAGGATAGCAGGCTCCAGAGGGATGCCAGGATCCAGTACTGTCATCTCCTAACCACGCCAATATATGAACTTAAAGAATAATGTTAGCACATGAAGAGGCCGTGGGACAGGGTGGAGGAAGTAAGGTAAGGCGGTGCGTGCTCACTGCTCACAGAGCTCTTTCTGGATTTGGTTGTGCTCCTCTGCCTATGTTCTCATTGAAAAGGGACGCATTGACCCATGCCCATTGCCCTCTTGTTCTACCACCTGGAGAAGTACCTGTTTTGGCATAAGTATCCTGTGGGACAGTAACTATTCCTCAAAGATGGCAGCCACCTGGGCTGATCCAAACAGTAAAAAAAAAGATTCTTTTATGGATGATTATGAACATGATTCTGTGTTGACCTCAAGAATTTTGGGACAAGCCAAACACTATCTCAAAAAGAGAGGCAGAACTTTTCTGCTAATTTTATACCTATAAGAACTTGACAGCTGATGGGGGAAGATTGAGAGGAAGGAATAGTCAGGAATTTGGGATGGACATGTACATACTGCTATATTTAAAATGAAGAGTCAACAGGGTCTATTGTTTAGAACATGGAATTTTGCTCAATGTTATGAGGCAGCCTGGATGGGAGAGGCATTTAGGGGAGAATGGATACATGTATATGTATGGCTGAGTCCCTTCGCAGCTCACCTGAAATCATCACAACATTGCTAATCAACTATACCACTATACAAAATGAAAAGTTTCTAAAGGAAGGATTTGATAGCTGATGAATCAACTTCATCCACTGGAGATTTGTCATGATATAGCAGGCACTCTGTGGGGGAGGGGAGGGTTGGAAATGTAAATTTCAATAGCACATGGTGTCCGCCCTCAATAAATTCACAGTCGAGAGGGGTAGACAGATGTTCATCATAGTCCAGGGGGAGGAATGTATAAAAACAGAGATGCTAGAAAGAATTCTGGATGTCTCACCACACAAAATGTTGTAAAAAGGTAACAAAATCTGAAGTCCAATGTTTTCCTCAATGGCAATGTACATATAGTCACTCACAGAAACGTTTTCCCATCCCATTGATTTATTTCCACAAACTTCTAAGTTTTCTCATATCAGATAGACACACTTGCTTTAACCCTCTTTCAATGGTTGATTTTTCAGTTGGGTTTACTGTTGACTTTAAATCCTCCCAAATCAGAATACAGTCCCTTGGCAGTCCCGCTAGAATCTGACCACCTTTACCTCCACTCTCCTCTCCTGGCTCCACCTCTGGGCCACAGCGCTGGGCTTGGGCACCCTCTGAAGGACTCCGTTAAGATACACAGGTTATGGATTCAAGTGAAGGAAGTATCCAACACTAAAGCCAAATGCCCTCTGCCAGCGGGTGGGGATGTCACTTTAAAGTATCCCAGGAGCCAGTGCCAAGACCATAACTTTCCTATGCCTTGGTGTTGCTTGGGTTATAGATTTGAAGAAAAAAGACACACATTAGAAGATGCCAGTCCGGAAATGGGGAGTTCTCATACAACTGTACTCATCATACATACAATCACTTCTTCTGTTCCCACCAGGAAAACTCCCGATCTGATTACGGGAGGTAATCATGAGGCTCCCCCATTGACTCCTCACATCATTATCCTTCTGTCCTATCTGATTTGAAGATCCCACATCACTAACCATGGCAGGCATTCTGCCAACTCCTGAATATTTCTGCATTGATCCTAATGTCCCACTAGGAGTTCTCATAATGGGAGTAGAGAGCTGTGCCCACTATGAGGGATAAGCAGAGTAGGGGACATGGACAGTAAGCTGCAATTTCACTCACACCGGACCTTGATGGCACAGGTTCCTGTTGCTTGCTGGAGTCCATTCTCTCTGTTCTCTTGAAAAAATGATCCAGTGATGTCTAGGTAGTAGGTCCTTTTTCCTCATCACAAATGACACAGTAGCACTGGATTATATTCTGAACAGCTGCTGCAACTTTCATGTATCATTCTACATCTGGATCCTGTGCCTCACAAACTAACAGTGCCTCCTCAAATAAAGAAA